AGGTGTCGTCGCGCCCGCGCCCGTGCTGCCGCCGCCGTGCCCGAGAGCAGAGCGGGAGCCCGAGTCCCCGCGGCCCGAGCGCAGAGCGGGAGCCCGAGTCCCCGCGGCCAGAGCGCAGCCCGAGCGCAAAGCGAGCCTGCCCACCGCCGCCATGGCCACCACGGTGACCTGCACCCGCTTCACTGACGAGTACCAGCTCTATGAGGATATTGGCAAGTAAGAGCCGCGGCGGGCGCGGGCGCGGGTGCGGGTTCTGGCCGGGTTGGTAGAGCGCGGGGGGCGCGGGGGGCGTAGGGGCCACATTTCGCCAGCAGCCTCCGGACACACTGCGGTTGGTCGTGAAGTGCGCGGCCCGATGCGGCGCTGATCCAGGCCTGGCGCATTCCTCTGCTCCTGGCCTCGCTAGGCTGGCTGCATGGCTGCGGGGTCGTCTCGGGCTCCGCGCTTTAGCTCCCAGAGTGGCGCGGCGGCGGCGGCAGCAGGTGTCTCTGAATGCCCGGCATACGTGACGCATTAGGCGGCGGGAGATCAGAGAGGAGGACTGGGTGGGGGTGGCGGTGGGGCCACGCAGGAGACTCCTAGGCCCTCGGGCGGCTCCGGCGAAGACGGGCCAGAGCTGGCCGACATGGGTACCTGCGCTCGTGGATTCTACCATCTTTCGCAACAGCGCGGCCAGCTGCGCGGGTGGAGTGGTACCGCATGTCCCTGCCACCCGCTGTCCCCTCCCGTGTTACATCCAGCACAGTGGGGCCTGCAGGCTCTGGGTAGGGCTGGGCCTCAAGGCGACAGGTAGACGTGGTTAGGGAGGAAGCAGCCTCGTCATGGGCCACGGGAATCTGCTCCTGGGGGCCTTTCCTTGCATCTTTGTGGAAGCAGTGGCCAGGAGAGCCGAAAGAAGATCCAGGTCTTGGATGGAGGCCGGGGAGGGAGCAGGCGAGGAGTCTTGCTTCGCTCCTGGTGTCCGGAGCCGCCAGGTGGGAGTAGAGGTGTTTGAAGGGGGAGCTTGTGGGGCGGTTAGGCAAGGCTTGATCATAGGGGCGCTAGGTGGTGTGACTCCTAGGTTTTGTCAGCACTGACTGTGGAAGCAGGTTGTCCGTCTTCACAGCTTTGCCTCCGAGGTTCGAGATGGGACCCCTTCAGAATATCCCCTCTCTGGGTTTCCTCTCTGGATGGAGATGATCGGGCCTTTCCACCCCTGGGATGCTGGTCAGCGGGGCCCCCTGTTCCCCATGCTCATGCTGGTGAAGCCCCAGGTCCTCTCCGCCTTTCTGCTAAGGTTCCTTACAAATCCTGCAACAGATGATCCCTTTTTAAAAATCCCTTTCTGCAGGGAGTAGGAGGGGTGGTTGAGAAGGGGGGGGGGAAGTATCGTGCTCCTCCGTTGTGCTAGGTGGAGGGCCTGACCAATTGCTAGTAGCTCTGTGCTTAATGTTGAGGACTGCTGACCAGGGGACCTGCGGTTCAAATCCACCACAAGCACTGAAGGAGAAAGATGGGAGGTCTCCTTGTAAAACTGGTGGAGGGTCTGAGTAGAAGCGCCTTGATGTCAGTGGGTGGGAACCACAAAGAGTGTGTTTGCTGCATATGAGCAACAGGATCTGAAGGGCAGTGCTGGGTGGAGAAGGCACAGGGTGGCATACATGGACCTGGAGGCCAGGGTAGGCCTGGAGGCCAGGGTGGGACGGAAGGCCAGGGTGGGATGGAAGACCAGGGTGGGCCTGATACTGGTCCTTACCCAGACTGAATGGGTTTAGAGTGAAGTAGCCTGTGGAAGGCAGGGACCCTGCCTGCTGCTGGCTGGAAACCTGGGTAAGGAGCTGTGCTGCCAACCCAAAGACAGGCGGTTCAAATACACTGCTTATTCTGCGGGACGATTTACAGACTCTGAAGACCTGCTAGAGGTCAGCTATGGGTTGGTTCTAACTTGAGAGCAGTGCATGAGCAAGAGGATCCTCAGCAGGACTTGAGGACAGGCATCTGGGGAAAATTTCCAGCTACTTAAGACTGGAGGCCTCTGGAGAAGGATCGTGGAGAGACCAGCTGCGCTGGGTCGTTGCTCTGCTTTCTGACTCAGGCACATAGTTGAGCTGGGCCATTTCACTGTGAGGGAGAACCTGTTCTGTCCTCCTCCAGCAGTGTGTCTGGGCCACTTTGAGCTACTGTTGATCGTGATTCTGAGAACGGTGACAGTGAGAGGAATGCCATCACACCCCTTCTGGGACAGTTCTTTGGCACTTAGTTCTCTTGCTGTGCCCAAGCCTGCAGTCATCCTCAGTTGGTTCTGCTTCCTTTCTGGGGTACTTGTGGCCCCACATACCCCTGCTCCTTTACAGGGTATTGGCTCTTCTTGGCTGAACTTGAGTGAACCGCCAGGAATCAGCAGTAGGCAGCCAGCCTCTCTGAATCCCAGAAACACAGTTCTCACAGCTGCTGCCACCACCTGGGGCTGGGAGGTGGTGACTCTCTGGCGGAGCCTGAGAAGGGTGGCATCCATGGAGGAGAGCCATCAGAGGGAGGGCTGGAGCAGGCTCTGTCCCCAGTACCCCAGGAAAGATGCAGCAGGAGGAATGGACCAAGGGTGCCAGGAGAGCAAAGACATGTGAGGATATGAGGGAGTGGGAGAGAGTGAGATGGGAAAGGAACACAAGTCATGGAGCTGACCCTCTTAGGACTTCATCTCAGCCTGCTGAGCAGCAGACCCAGTGAGGGAAAGAAAACCATGGGCCACTGCACAAGAACAGGGAGACTGTGTCAGTCAAACTGCTGTGGTGGGTGCTATGGACAGAGCAGGGAGCTGGGAAGGTGGGTCAGGTCTGGGGGCAGGGTTCCACAGAAGGAGTCAGCTATGGGGCCCATCCTGGCTACATGTTGACAGAGCCACTCAGTACACAGTTGGTATTACTGCCCAGCCCAAGTTTATTTAAAGTTACAGATCCTGGCACCCTGTCAGGCAACACTAATCTCTCTACTAAGGGATACAACACACTGCCCTGCCCATTCCCATAACACTTCTGCCTGCCACACACCACTACATAGCCTCACCTCACACTATCACTGTTCCCCACCTCAAACCACCACCATTCCCCACATCAAACTGCCACCATTTCCCCACACCTCACACCACCAGTGCCTCACCTCATACCACCATCATTTCCCACCTCACACAACCACCATATGCCCCTACCTCACATTACCACCCTGCCCACCTCACACCACTACCGTGCCTCACCTTACATGACTACCCTGCTTCCTATCACACTAGCACCATTCCCTACCTCACACCACCACCCTGCCCCACCTCACACCATTGTTCCCCACTTCACACCACCACCATTCCCCACCTCACACCACCACCCCTTCCCCCTACAATCCGCCACTCTGCCTCCCCTCACCCAACCACCCTGCCTCACCTCACACAACCACCCTGCCTCACCTCACACCACTACCGTGCCTCACCTTACATGACCACCCTGCCTCATGTCACACCAGCACCATTCGCCATCTTACACCACCACCCTGCCCCACCTCATACCATCACTGTTCCCCACCACATAAGACCACCCCTGCCCCACCACACACAACCACCCCACCCTACCTCACAGCACCACTCTGTCTAACTACACACCACCTCAGGCCCACTTCACACTACCACTCCTGCTCCCTCACGCTACCACCCCTGCCCCACATCACACAAACACCGTTCTCTACTTCACACAACCACCTCGCCCTGCATCACACCACCACCATTCCCCACCTCACACCACAACCTTTGTCACACTACACACCACACCCATGCCCCACCTCACACCACCACCATTCCCCACCTCACACCACCACCCCTGCCTCACCTCACACCACCACCCTGCCTCTCCTCACACCACTACCCTGCCCCAACTCACACCAATACCCTGCTCCACCTCATATCACCACCTTTGCCTCACCTCACAAAACCACCATTATCCACCTCACATCACCACCCTGTCCCACCTCACACCACCACCATTCCCCACCTTATACCACAACCCTTGCCCCACCTCACACCACCACCTGCTTCACTGCACACCATCACCACCACCCCACCTTACACCACTACTGCTGCCCCACCTCACAAACCACCCTGACCCACATCACATACTACCCCCATCCCACCTCAAACACCACCACCCCCCACCTGAAACCACCACCTTTGTCCCACCTCACACCACCATCCTGCCCCACCTCACACCACCCTCCCTGCCCCACCTCACAACACCCTCCCTGCCCCACCTCACAACACCACCATTCCCCACCTCACACCACCAACCCTGCCTCACATCACACCACCACCCTGCCCCACCTCATATCACCACCCCACCTTACCTCAAATCACTACCATTCCTCACCTCACCTCATACCACCACTGTTCCCTATCTAACACCACCATCCTGTTCCACCTCACACCACCATCTGCTTCACTTCATACCATCACCACTGCCCCACCTTATGTACTACCCCACCCCACCTCAAACACCACCCCCGTCCCACTTCACACCACCACCCTGCCCCATCTCATACTGCCACCCCTTTCCTACCTCACACCACCACTATTCCCCACCTCACACCACCACCCCTGCCTCACCTCACACCACCACCCTGCCTCTCCTCACACCACTACCCTGCCCCAACTCACATCAACTCCCTGCCCCACCTCACATTACTACTCTTGCCTCACCTCACATTGTCACCATTCCCCACCTCACACCACCACTGTTCCCCATTTCACACCACCATCCCGTTCCACCTCACACCACCACGTGCTTCGCCTTACACCATCACCACTAACCCACCTCACTCACAAAACCACCTTGCCACACTTCACATACCACCCCCACCCCACCTCATACACCACCCGTCCCACCTCACACCACCACCATGTCCCACCTCATACCACCACCCCTGCCTCATCTCATACAACCACCATTCCCTACTTCACAGCACCACTATTTCCCACCTCACACCACCACCATTCCCCACCTCACACCACCACCCCTGCTTCACCCTACCTCATACCAGCTCCATACCTCCCTCAACCACCATCATTCCCCACCTCACACCACCACCCCTGCCCTACCTCACACCACCACTATTCTCCATCTCATACCACCACCCTGCTTCCCTTCACATTATCACCCTGTCCCAACTCATGTCCATCACCCAGTCCCCCACCCCACCTCACA